TCTGTCTTCATTTTTATTCTAACTTACTGTGTTTGAGGCCGCCTTTTCCCAGGCTTTCAGGTTGTATTCCTTCTCCCTTTTGATTTCTGCCCTCAGCGGGTAAGATTTGTCCAGTGGTTTGTGTAGGCTTTGTGTTCTGGTGAAAGGAGGTGAGGGTTTTTTTCCTTCTGATGGGCTTGGCTGTGTGAGGTGGTATATTTTGGGGTGTCTGGTAATCCTGTCTGCTGATTGGTTGGGTTTATGGTTTAGTCTTGTTTGTTGTTTGGGTGAGGTGTCCTGCATGGGTTTATGATTTTGTCTTGTTTGTTGTTTGGGTGACGTGTCCTGCACTGAGGTGCTGCTGGCCGTTGGGTGATGCTGGATCTTCTAACACAGTTAACAACCCCGTGATTCCTTATTGAATTCCATGAAAGGCTGCAACCTTTCATTAGTGAGTATGTATTGCCTGCTTTCTATACAGTAGGAATTCATTGACTCTTTATTTCATTTGAACACCTGAAGGTTGTTTTATGTTAGTCCAGCCACATAGGGATTGATGGTCTTTCAGAAGTGGCATGCCGAGTCTTGGTTTATTCCCTGCTTTATAGGTCAGGGAGAGAGAAGTGACAGCTGTGTATGTGGAAACAATTCTGGTCAACCCCAATGACAGAGGAGCCAGCAGACATGCTTGGGGAGTGCCCTGAGGTGTGCTGCTGGAGTCTCTTGGGTAGAACAGTAGTTGGGAAGAGGCAGCAGGAGGCCTCTTTCCCTGCAATACTTTGGCATATGTAGCTATATCCTCCTGCATAACTCTCATAACTTCTTTAATAGTGAAAATGATGTTCTTTTCCATGGGTTATTGGTCCTTGTAGTCTGTGTTCTTAAGTTACTTGCATCCAAATCAAATTGAGTTTACAATTTAGAGTCAGATACCTACATACCACTTGTAGCTTAGCTATGGGATAGTCTGTGTCACAGCTGACTGCCTGTATGACCGGGACTGAGCTGATGTCATACCAAAGAATACAGGCTTTGGAATTAGATAAATCTGGGTTTGAGTTCTAGTACTTGTTGAACAAGTAACTTATTACCCACTATTCTCTTATCCTTACTGTGAAAATAATAGTGCTTTTAAGAATTTTTGTGAGAAATAATAATGTCAGTATAGAAACATTTAGCAGAGTACCTAATACCCAATTAAATAGTAGCAATAAAGAATTTTTAATATTATTGGTACATAGTTTGAATAGAAGTTGAATATATGTTGCTTTTTAGTCTTCATTTTAAGAAAAATGTAATTGGTGCCATCTGATACTCTTTTAAAAAGCAATATATTCTAATATGGAGCTTCTCAGGTGGCTCAGTGGTAAGGAATCTTGACCTGCATACAGGTTTCTCAGGAGGCAGGTGAGGTGGTCTGGTATTTCTGTCTCTTTAAGAATTTTCCACAGTTTGTTGTGATCCACACAATCAAAGGCTTTAGTGTAGTCAATGAAGTGTAAATAGATGTTTTTCTGGAATTCTCTTGCTTTTTCTATGATCCAACTAATGTTGGGAATTTGATACCTGGTTCCTCTGCCTTTTCTAAATCCAGCTTCAACATCTGAAAGTTCTCGGTTCGCATAGTGTTGAAGCCTAGCTTGAAGAATTTTGAGCATTACTTTGCTAGTGTGTGAAATGAGTGCAGTTGTGTCAGTTTGAACATTCTTTGACACTGCCTTTCTTTTGGATTGGAATGAAGACTGACCTTTTTCAGTCCTGTGACTGCTGAGTTTTCCAAATTTGCTGGCATACTTAGTGCAGCACTTTAACAGCATTATTTTTTAGGATTTGAAAAGGCTCAACTGGAATTCTATCACCTCCACTAGCTTTGCTCATATTGATGCTTCCTAAGGCCCACTTGACTTCACACTCCAGGGGAATTCTGGCTCTAGGTGAATGATAACTCCGTCGTAGTTATCTGGGTTGTGAAGATCTTTTTTGTACAGTTCTGTGTATTCTTGCCACCTCTTCTTAATATCTTCTGCTTCGGTTAGGTTCACACTGTTTCTGTCCTTTATTGTGCCCATCTTTGCATGAAATGTTCCCTTGATATATCTAATTTGCTTGAAAAGATCTCTAGTTTTTCTCATTCTATTGTTTTATTCTGTTTCTTTGCATTGATTACTTAGCAAGTCTCTCTTATCTCTCCTTGATATTTTTTGGAACTCTGCATTCAGATGGGTATCTCTTTCCTTTTCTCCTTTGCCTTTCACTTCTCTTCTTTTCTCAGGTACTTGTAAGGCCGCTTCAGACAACCGTTTTGCCTTTTGTATTTCTTTTTCTTGCAGATGGTTTTGATGACCACCTCCTATACAGTGTTACGAACCTCTGTCTATGGTTCTTCAGGCATTCTGTCTCTCAGATCTAATTCCTTGAATCTATTTGTCACTTGCACTATGTAATCATAAGGGATTTGTTTAGGTCATACCTGAATGGCCTAGTGTTTTTCCCTCCAAAAAGAAACTGGGTATCACTACAAAATGTGGAGAGCCAGAGTCATTCGTATTAATTGAACGGGGTATTAGTTGGTGATGGCTGTAGGCAGGTGAGAATTCTTGTGAGATGAGAAATACAAGCCTTGTAAGAGTGCAGCATAGTAACTTTACAAAACACTTTAAATATCATAATCAAGTTAAATATTGGCTATACATTTATTTCATTTTTCAGCATAAAGACTAAAATTCCTCCCCCCAACTTGCTTGTTGCTATCTTCAGTCTTTTTTTCTAGCTTCCATGTCTCCTTTTACCTCTATCCTTGAGGAAGAACAAATGAAATATCAATAGGGAAAATGTAAACAGCACCAGTGCCTACCTCCAGAAGGGGCCATCTATGTGCCAGAGCAGGACTGGAAAGGTTCTGAGTTTGTAGAATATTATTGTAGCCTTTGGTCTTGAGATCTGGTGAGATGTAAATATTCGTGAAATGTCTCAGGGCCTCAGTGTCTCAGGGCGGGAGCTAACTGTCTTGGAGACTCTGGCAGCACTGGATTTGACTCAGCAGGGACTGAGGAGTGATGTGGGCAGCCTATTCAACATCTTAGAGTAGCAGGCAGCCTGGCATGGAAAAAGTAGCTAACACATATATATGGAATTTAGAAAGATGGTAACGATAACCCTATATGCCGATCAGAAAAAGAGACACAGATGTAAAAAACAGACTTTTGGACTCTGTGGGAGAAGGCGAGGGTGGGATGTTTCGAGAGAACAGCATTGAAACAAGTATACTATCAAGGGTGAAACAGATCACCAGCCCAGGTTGGATGCATGAGACAAGTGTTCGGGGCTGGTGCACTGGGAAGACCCAGAGGGATTGGGTTGAGAGGGAGGTGGGAGGGGGGATCGGGATGGGGAATACATGTAACTCCATGGCTGATTCATGTCAATGTATGACAAAAACCACTACAATATTGTAAAGTAATTAGCCTCCAACTAATAAAAATAAATGGGAAAAAAAAAAGAGTGGGGAAAAAAAAAGTAGCTCTTGACCATACTAGCAGTTACTTGAGAAGTACTGTGCTCTTGACATCACAGACAAGCCTGCTTTTTCAGCTTTCTAAAAAATACAGGAAGGGCAGCAGTATCTGTTGGGCCCCTATGCCCTTGTTTTTCTCAAGGAAATTGGGATGCTCAAACTTTCCTAAACCTGTGTAACTCCTGACTCCCAGAGCAGTGTGGGCTGTTTACCTGTATATACTCTGTTGATTGAGATAGGATGAAAGGTGAATGTGCTAAAAGTGAGTCCAAGTCTTGGGGGAAGAGGGGCACTTAGTTATTTAGTCTTTCTTCAAGCTGTTGAGAAAGTACCTTGTAACAGGGAAGTCTAGAACAAGGGGGAGTTCCCCTCTCATGAATGAACCGTAGGCCGTAGATTATTAAATACTGTGAGGATCAATTAACACCAGTTGGGAAGATATGGCCACCCTTAAACTTAATGCATAGGCCTACTTTTCTTGCTGATTTATTATAACTCTCCCTGTTTGCCCCAGAGCTGGAGTCTCTCTTCATATTGAAAGCAGATAGGTACTAGGAGCTGCAGGAAAAAATAGGTAATAAAACTTTGCTGATAAGCTTATCAGAGATTGCAAGTTGAGAAACTACATGGTTTGGGCTTGAAATTCAGAATTGACATCAAATGGCAGCTATGTCTTTTATAAATATTTAGGTATTTTTAGATGAAAGCATAATTGATGTTTTTTTAACTAAAAAGAGAAAATTATTCCCATTAAAGTAGACAATATCTGATAATGAAATCTTATTCATCATTGTATTTCTGGCCCTCACCATAGAGTCTTATCCACAGTAAGCCCTTGGTAGATTTTTGATAAATGAATTTGGCTATATTTAGGCCCATGGCAGATGCATCTAAATGACAAAAGCACCCATTCCCACCAAACTCTCAGGAGGATCCTTTTAGATAGCATTAGATGCATATTATCATTTTAAGGGATTTGTCAAAGGAGATAAAACTGAGTTGTTCTCTTGTACCCAAGTTTAAGTTGATACTACCTTAGAAATTAAACTTGTATTAATTGTTAATGGTTGAAATTTTTTGCCCTTCCATGTTAATTTGCTGTTTAAAGGGAAACAGTCTTGTGCACTCCCTTCATACCTTTGCTGTTTCTGCCAGTGGGTGGTTCTTGCTAATCTAAAGAAGGCATGTTCTTGGGTGTGGCAACTGTGCATTTAACTGGTTTTGTGCTCACATATAATTTATTGTCGAGTTCATTTTAAACGGTCGCTGACATTAGTTTTTGTGACCTCACAATAAAAGATATATTTTAATCCAGTGTGTGTATATGTGACAGTGTTGTAGTTCTATATTCTTAACCATATGATTTTTTTAATACATCTAAATTTAAGGATACTTAAAATATTGATATGTTGTCATTTCTTCTTAGTTGATTCACAGTTACCACTTAGGTTTCATGTATATATTTTCATATATTAATTTGTAACAACACAATGTAATTCCTTTTAAGGGCTCAATTAGAGAATGAAAAGAAGAAAAGAGAAATAGCAGAAAAGGAAAAGGAAAGAATAGAACGTGAAAAGGAAGAGCTAATGGAACGTCTGAGACAAATTGAAGAACAGACAATGAAAGCCCAGAAAGGTAAAAGTTTCTTTTTGATATTGGATTCAAAATTGTTGCTCTGTCATCAGATAATATAGTGTTTCTTAATACTATTAAATCTTTTTTTTTTAAATTTTTAATTGGAGGAAAATTGCTTTATAGTGCCGTACAACTACATGAATCAGCCATAATTGTACATGTGTCCCCTCCGTCTTTAGCTTCCCTCCCCTCCCATCACCCCACCCCTCCAGGTCATCACAGAGCACCAGGCTGAGCTCCCTGTCTTATCTTGCAGCCTCCCGCAAGCTATTTATTTGACTCATGATGGTGTATATATGTTGATGCTACTTTCTCTATCTGTCCCACCCTCTCTTTCCCCCAGTGTGTCCACAAGTCCATTCTCTACATCCGTTGTCTCCATTCCTTCCCTGCAAATAGGTTCATCTGTACCGTTCTAGATTCTACATACAGTACAAATTATTATGCCATGTTTGGTTTCCTCTTTCTGACTTAATTAATTCTGTGTAACAGACTTTAGGCTCATCCACATCACTACAACTGGTTCAAATTTGTTCCTTTTTATGGATGACTGATATTCTTTTGTTTTTATGTACCACAGTTTGTTTATCCATTTATCTGTTGATGAACATCTGGGTTACTTCCATTTCTTATATAGACCTAATTCCATTTAATTGCCAATTTAATACTTAGTGGAATTAAATCATAAACATTTTTAAAGTACATTCATGTATACAACCCTTATCTATTTGTTTTTCATTTACTTAAGCACTCAAATAGTTTTATATGTACTTTTATTATACATTACAAATGACTGTGTGTGTTAATTTTTTCCTTTCGACTATCCAGGGTTACATACACAAAAATACATTTTCAATGCTTTCTGGCATTTAAACAAAATCTCTTTATGGATATTTAAGTACTTTAAAGCATCTAGGTAATTTAAGGCATTTTAAGCTATTCTGACTATTTAAACTCTTCTAGAACTCAGTCTCTAGGTTCAGTATGTTAAAAAATACACAACACATAGCCATGTTTTGTTTGTTTTTGATAACACATTTGGAAGAACTTACTTCCTAGACAGTAGGTAACCAAAATGTTACATTATATTAATGCTTTATTATTTTAATATTGTTATTATTTGGCTGTGGCAGGTCTTAGCTGTGACGATGCAGGATCTTCACTGTGTTATGTGGAATCCTTTTTCTGTGGTGCATAGACTCTCTAGTTGTGTTACATGGCATGTGGGATTTTAGTTCCCCGACCAGGGATTGAACTGGCATTCCCTGAGTTGCAATTCAGACTCCTAATCACTGGACCACCTGGGAAGTCCCAACTACAATGTATATTTAGAAAGGCTACATTTATATTTAGCAAATGTGGTTTATATAAAGTAACTCTTCAGTCAGTTCAGTTGCTCAGTCATGTCTGACCCTTTGCGACCCTGTGAACCGCAGCACACCAGGCCTCCCTGTCCCACCAACTCCCAGAGTTTACCCAAACTTATCTCCATTGAGATGGTGATGCCATCCAACCATCTCATCCTCTGTCATCCCCTTCTCCTCCTGCCTTCAATCTTTCCCAGCATCACGGTCTTTTCAAATAAGTCAGCTCTTCGTATCAGGTGGCCAAAGTATTGGAGTTTCAGCTTCAACATCAGTCCTTCCAATGAACTCCCAAGACTGATCTCTCTTAGGATGGACTGGTTGGATCTCCTTGTAGTCCAAGGGACTCTCAAGAGTCTTCTCCAACACCACAGTTCAAAAGCATCAATTCTTCTGTGCTCAGCTTTCTTTATAGTCCAACTCTCACATCCACACATGACTACTGGAAAAACCATAGTCTTGGCTAGACGGACCTTTGTTGACAAAGTAATGTCTCTGCTTTTTAATATGCTGTCTAGGTCGGTCATAACTTTCCTTCCAAGGAGTAAGCGTCTTTAAATTTCATGGCTGCAATCACCATCTGCAGTGATTTTGGAGCCCCCAAAAATAAAGTCGGCCACTGTTCCCACTATTTCCCCGTCTATTTGCCATGAAATGATGGGACCGGATGCCTTGATCTTAGTTTTCTGAATGTTGAGCTTTAAGCCAACTTTTTCACTCTCCTCTTTCACTTTCATTAAGAGACTCTCTAGTTGTTCTTCACTTTCTGCCATAAGGGTGGTGTCATCTGCATATCTGAGGTTATTGATATTTCTTCCGACAACCTTGATTCCAGCTTGTGCTTCTTCCAGCCTGGCGTTTCTCATGATGTACTCTGCATATAAGTTAAATAAGCAGGGTGACAATATACAGCTTTGACGTACTAGAATAGACAAGACACTGAGCAAAATAAACGGCTATTCTCCTTCTTAAGAATTAGTACCTGCTTTCCTGATGACCAGTAGAATCAGACATTCAGTTCTATTGAAAATTGTTGTTAGTCTTATTTAAGGTTTATTTTTTCTCCTTGCTGGTGGTGGGGCGATGCTCTTGAGCAGTGGGTAGAATAATTTGCCAAATGGGTAGCTGGAGGAGGAAGTCACAAAGGTTGTTATAAATGCACAAATTGATGATCCCAATTGTAAGATGATTGGAAATAATATTTCTAAGAGAAGAAATAGATTTTAAAAAGCCCTGGGTTTTTCTCTGACTCCTGAGGAACCTTACTTCTCAGAGCTGTAGGAGACCTAGCGACTGTTTAGTTTGAAACCTTGAGGTAGTAAAGAGACTTGTTTGCAGTCCATAGCCCAAGGGTAAAACTTGTTTCCTCAATTCCGACTGATGATGTTTCTACCCCTCGTGGGCTTCCCTGCTGGCTCAGCTGGTAAAGAATCCTCCTGCACTGTGGGAGACCTGGCTTCGATCTCTGGGTTGGGAAGATCCCTTGGAGAAGGGAATGGCTACCCACTCCAGTATTGTGGCCTGAAGAAGTCTATCGGGTCACAAAGAGCTGGACAAGACTGCACGAGTTTCACACACACTGCCACTCTAGGTTGTTTTTCATCAGTTAAAGCAGATATTCAGGATGTGCCATCTTTGTGCTGGATTGTAGACAGACAGATATGCAGCATTCATGGGAGTGAAGCCTGTGTGCTTGACAGAAGTGAGATGGATACATACAAATTTTGTTAAAGTTAGGTAACATGTGCTAAGTGGTATGTGAAGAGTATAAGCAATATTTATATTAGAGGAAGAATCTTGAAAAAAAAAGAGCTAGAATGTACTAAAGTGTTTTTTATAAAAGGAAACTAAAGAAATTTATGATACTGATTTGATTTTAAAGAGAAGACTGAAGGATAGCAGCTTTTCATTTATAATACCTTTTCTGAGAGAATAGCTATTTACTAAATCTTTCAATCTCATTTATTTAGATGTGTGATAAAAATATCACTGATTTACATACAGACAAGTACTTAAATAAGTGAGCACTAAAGAATATAAGGAAGATAAAACGCAAGAAAAAATATAGAGCATCCTTGTCAAGACATTTCAAATCAGTCATCCTTAGGTGAAGGACATCCAGTTTTGCTTGTTTTTTTTTTTTCCCCTAATAATAAAGCTTTTCCAGGCTGTCTAAAACTCTCCATCAGCTGTCTTGTAATTTATGCTAAATTCTCATTCAAATGATAAGTAGCTCTAACCATTTCTAAATCATAATATTTAGTAGATAAACCAGTAATTTTTGTTTGAAAAGAAACATATTTCATTATTGTCATTTTCTTAAAAATTTGATATTGATGGTATTATTTGAAATTTGAAATGTCACAAATAATTAAACAGAACCATGCTAACAGTTTGCATTGCCATATTCATTATTGTTAAATTATTTAGCTTCCTTTGTCATTCTTTTAACTATTTTTCAGATACATTGGTGACTGTATTTGAGATAAAAGACAGTCAAACTTGAATTTAGTTTCTGTTCTAAAAAAATACCAAATATCAAAATGAATTTCCACCTTCACAAAAACAAAGCATAGAAAAGAGTTAGAGGTATAGTAATTTCATTCTGGATGGTTGTTGTCATAATGACCCATATAACCATTATGGTGTCATCAGTCACCTGGAGCCAGACTGTGAAGTCCAGTCATCCTTGAGTGCAAAGTCAAGTGGGCCTTAAGAAGCATCACTATGAACAAAGCTAGTGGAGGTGATGGAATTCCAGCTGAGCTATTTCAGATCCTAAAAGATGATGCTGTTAAAGTGCTGTACTCAATAGGCCAGCAAATTTGGAAAACTCAGCAGTGGCCACAGGACTGGAAAAGGTCAGTTTTCATTCCATTGCAAAAGAAAGGCAGTGCCAAAGAATGTTCATACTGCCACACAATTGCACTACTCATTTCACATGCTAGCAAAGTAAGGTTCAAAATTCTTCAAGCTAGGCTTCAACAGTATGTGAACTGAGGACTCCAGATGTTCGAGCTAGATTTAGAAAAGGCAGAGGAACCAGAGATCAAATTGCCAACATCCATTGGATCATTGAAAAAGCAAGAGAATTCCAGAAAAGCATCTACATTGACTATGATAAAGCCTTTGACTGTGTGGCTCACAATAAACTATGGAAAACACTTCAAGAGATGGGAATACCAGACCACCTTACCTGCCTTCTGAGAAACCTATATGCAGATCAAGAAGCAACAGTTAGAACCAAACATAGAACCATGGACTAGTTCCAAATTGGGAAAGGAGTACATCAGGGCTGTATATTGTCACCCTGCTTATTTAACTTCTGTGCAGAGTACATCATGTGAAATGCTGGGCTGGATGAAGCACAAAAGCACAAGCTGGAATCAAGATTGCCAGGAGAAATATCAATAACCTCAGATATGCAGATGACACCACCCTTATGGCAGACAGCGAAGTGGAACTAGAGTCTCTTGATGAAGGTGAAAGAGGAGAGTGAAAAAGCTGGCTGAAAACTCAGTGTTCAAAAAACAAAGATCATGGCATCTGGTCCCATCACTTCATGTCAAATAGATGGGGAAACAATGGAAATAGTGACAGACTCTTTTATTTTTGGGCTCCAAAGTTACTGCAGAT